CTGTAATGTCTCCTGCGCCTAAACACTCACTCACGAGCAATATGCGTGTATTTGTTTGGGTTTAGTTTCTTTCTTCAGCGCCTAGAGTAAAGCTAGTGATTTCCAGTGGTGGTCAAACATCTTGGTGACGTCACACCCCTTTTTTGACATGATTCGGGTGGTTTCGGAAATCGTCTTACGCTTGGATAGCCCTTTCCATACTGTTCTATGCTCGTATTGACGTAATTATAATAATTCTGTGGTGTCTCGTGTTCCACGACGATTTACCGAGACAGCCAGGCGGTGACTCATCTGTTGTTTTTGTTTGAGTTGTTGGCGAATTTGCGGTAGAGATTTGTTTTGGTGTTCGTCTTCGGGTGTGTTTTTCTGCCTTGGACTTGTTTTTTGTGCGATTAATTGAGGATGGCCATGCCTAGAGCAAAAAAAACGAAAAGCCGCGCTGGTATCAACTCCTGACCTTGCTGAAGAGGAACCTGCAGAAGTCACCTGAACGCAATCGGACATCGCCAGAGGAGCGCCTAATGATAACGTTGCAGTAAGTATCCAAATCAGTTTATTTTTGCATAAATGACTAAATATATTGAGGTTATGGTCGTTTTCTTAATTCAAGGTCACTTCTTAAAATATATTGAACTTCTTCTTAAGAACCAACCAATCGGATATCGTGATGTTTGATCGATTTTATATCGCTGTATGGGCAGATGGTTCGGTGATAGTTGTATGAAAAATTATTTGCGCTTGCTTACGCATGACAGTTTAGAGCTGAACATCGGGGCGGATTGATAAAAAAAAATCAGAGATGTTAAAAATTATAATAAATAAAGTCAGTGGTCATGTTTACTTCATCCCCTAACAAAGTGCGTATTGTGGTAGTTTCAGCAAAACATATCAGTATTGCTACAGCATAAAGAAGATAAAAAAACAGCATGAAAAAAATAAACATGGGTCCTAAATTGCCCCTTACCAAGATAGAAGATTATGAAATTATATTCTAGAGAACGAAAAAAAAAAGAAAAATGGAAATAATCTTAAAATTTTGTGCTTGTAGTACTGACTTCATAGCTGATAGATGCAAACACTTTCATGTCTGAGACTGTACCAGTGGTGATGTTGGCAAATTATAGCCCCTACAGAAGAAAAAAGAGAATTTAAATCTATACCATGTCCCCCATGACATGTTTTTCCAAAACCTCACAGAACACTGTGAAGGTACTTTGTCATTAACTACGAACCAGGTGTACACCTGGCGAATGCTGTGTATTCGCAGCCCACCAAATATGTAATCTCTTTTGAAGTTTATTGAGGTAAACAGATGAGTAGCACGTAACTTTTTTTTGTGACATCTGTACTGTTGGTAATAATAAATCTGGTAAAGGGTCAAATTAAGGACTGGTGTTTGGTATCACCAATGAAAATTTGTTTACATACAGAATTTTGGCAATCAAATGTATACTGCTAGATTGGGAATTTACACATATGTACAGAGCAGTATCATCTGAAGGGGCGTGGTGAGATGAATATGTTTCTGTTTAGTGTTTGCTGACCAAATATGACAGTGATATTATGCTAATAATTTTTTTTTGTTTCACAGTGTCAACATCCTTCGAGAAGACAGTTGGAGTGAAGATCATCATTTATTTTATGGATACCAAATTAATTGTCAATGACATAAGGAATTTGTTTCCTAGTTTGAAGAAACAATTAGTTTTTTATGTGTTTTTTTTTTGTTGAGGACAATTTTGTTTGCCTTTACCCATTAACAGTGTGTGCAAAACTATTTTTGATTCACATATCAGAGTGATTATATTTGTATTCCAGTCAGTCCTCTAACTACAGATGTATTTTTTGTTATTTTAGTATTTATGTTTTTGCAATAAATATACATGATCAATTGACAAGAGATAGTGCTTGCATGATATTGGACTGATCAGGTTCATAATGTAGAGAAAAATGCAGATGATATGTATTTACAATTTATTGTAATGAAGAACTTGTTCTACGAGTATTATTGCTGGGACTGTTCAATATTTTTTTAATTATACATTTTTTTATTATCCTGAAATTCATTACTAGCCAAACTGATGAAAGAAATACTTCCTTTATTGAGGATGTGTAATGCATCTATGATCATCGAACTGCCTCAATATCGGGACAGTCATCAGTCAGATTTCGTAATGTAAACAAATGAAATCGCCGACACATTCCTGATATGCGTTGTCGGCATACTTTCAATATTTTTAGTTCCACCAGATTTCCAGCCAAGAATGGTAGCGCTGCCGTCGTTATAGTCCAAGAAATATCTTCACATCTGCTCAGGAAAATATTCGGATTCGGACTTTTGGCATGTTATTCGAAAAAGCCTCCTAGTAACAAATCTACAGGTTGTCAGGCTCCAAATTGCGTCTCTAATTGTACAACTTTTTCAAATAAATTCCAAAAATTAATGTTTTCGCTTCATCAAAGGTAGTATTCGTTTTTTTTTTGATACTCCGAAACAAAACGATGTTTGACAATGTTTGTTAAAAGCTGATTTTGCACGAGATGGGAAAGTACAAAAAATTGATTTTGCGATACCGAAAAACGATCTGAAAAAACGAAAATGTTAATGTCGCCATGCTTCATAAATAACCATTAACACAATTGCGATACCTTCTAGGAGATACTGTTATTAAAAATCTTTGTATTTAATTGATATGCAAGCGGACGCTCAATGCATATTCAGCCTGCACGAGAGATATTTCATCTCTCTCTCTCGCGTTCACATAGACATAGACTATACATTAAGCGCGCATTCAATTCATAATTACTATGCAAATATTTACAATAACTGTACTCCCTAAAATGCTCTGGGGGTTTTGTTATTGGTTGGTTGGAGCATGTGTGAGATTTGGCAACATCAAAATATTCATTTTTCATATTGTTTTTAGGGTAGCAAATGACATATTTTGAGTTCTCACCTTGCTTATACCTGTATATATCAAGTCTAGAGAAAAGTTCTAAAGCTCATTTTTTATTCAGAATGTCATAAAAACCGAAAAATACTATAAACAAAGCGAACAAATCAATTTTTGGAATCGCTTTAATAACAATTTTTGGAGCAATTTTGGGCCTAGTCACATGCAGATTCTTTAACAGAGGTCCTTGAATCAGATTATGCAAAAATCGGAATCGGAAAATTTTTCCGAGCAGATGTTTCGATATTGACCTTTCATTTACTAGTGCTAAGCATAACAAAATGCCTCGAGTTCCAAGACGTCGAAATTATCACCATGTTAGCGGCTTTGACAGGGGTAGAATTATTGCCTATCGAGATGTTGGTTTGTCCTATCGCGAAATTGACCGACGTGTTAATTGTACGGCAATGATGGTAATACGTGTGTCTCCGGTGTGGATAGAAAAGGGTAGAGGAACACGAAGACGGCCAACTAGTCTAAGCGCTTCAGACATCACGTCAAATCGCTGACCAATGGTTTGGAGAAGAAGGTAGACCTGTTACTATGCGTACACTGTTTCGCCGCATTCGAGCGACTTGGACCTTTTTCATACCGTCCACGGTTAGTGCTTCCTCTGACTGCGGACCACTGTCGTTTGAACTGGAGCAGAGAACGGCAACATTGGGAGGTAATGTTATCCTCAGCGACGAATTGCGGTTATGTTTAGGTACGCACGATGGTCGAAGAAAGGTAAGACGCCTTCGTGGAGAACGGCGACTGTGGATTTGCTATTGAGAGTTATGTACACAGGACTGTTGGAGTAATGGAGTAATTGCCTATGGTAGCCGATCACTCCTTCTCTTTGTTAAAGGCAATATGGCTGCTGCGCGTTATGTTGATGATGTCCTACATACTACTTTACTGTCGTATCTAGAAGGCCGTCCACACGTTTTCAGCAGGACAACGCACGTCCCCATATTGATCGTCGTACTTTCTTCGTAGTTTCTTCAAGAAGCAGGCGTTAATATTTTGCGGTGGCCACCCCAGTCACCGGATTTAAATCCCATCGAACATATGTGGGATATGATGGGGAGGAGCTAATCCACGAAGTTCGAGTTGCTTGGAATGAGGTACCACACCCAGACATCGGTCATCTCATTTTGCCGGTGCCTAGACGTATACTGGAGTGTACTCAGCTGCGGGGTCTCCCAACACATTAATATTTTTTCTTATTACTTGACGATAAAATTTCCTGAAAATGTTATCGTTTCATTCTTGATATAGCACTACCTCATTGCCAAATAATCAAGTTGACGAAATTATTTTTTCTGGGTGTAACACTTTCTAATGTCACTGAGTAGGTACACCTATTCATCATAACGTCAATTTTGCATTCAATTCGAACATTCCATGTTCAAGCTAATACATCTCCATCGCTCAGGAAGTACCACAAAGGACCAACTTCTAGATATACTTGTGAAGTTTTTACGTATGCATGCGTATCATCCGCAACCATATCAATTTTATAATGTCGGATTCAATAACACTAATATTTTACTAGCTGAGGCTGACTTACTCAGCAGTAGGGTAAACACTGTTTCTTAAAATAGAAATATAATGCATCGTCATCAACTGACCATTGTATACCTAAAGCGAAAGTCAACTTTTAAAAGAAACAGTAAATATGCACAAATACTCTAAGATGAACTTGTAAAGTCACGTGAATGCAATCCTTTATACAAACCGGGTGTTTCAATTTCGAACCTCACCACTTGGATTTCGGGAACGGTAAGAGATACGGAGTATGTTGAATGAAGATGTATATCTTACCATTTCCGGCATCCCAGTGGTGATGGTCGAATTGGCGACACCCGATATGCTGCTCGTTCAGTGGTACACAAAATCCTGGATTAACAAGTAAATGCATAAAAAACTCAAGTACGACAACCTAAATTAGCTGTTTTGACTTATCTATGCTTTACCACTTAAAATTGAAAACTATCATCACTATCATCTGTAAAACACGAAATCAAGCATTAATTTTTTTATACAGGGTTTCTTTTGCAGGCATGGATGTTCTACACTTAGTTCTCATCCTGTTGACAGTCCACCTGGCTCTACCGTCGCACTAGAAAATTTTAAAGCAATATAAACTAACAGGGACACAAATCACAATGTCTAGGTTTAAAGGTTTTTGTAACATTGTTATATGAATAAGATGAAGACTGCACCATCTGAACAATTTGTTGATGACGAAATTTTAATACGCCAAGTCATCGTGTTTTAGTTGTTGCATATGGTCACACATATGATTAATTGAAGTGAATAAGTTCTACGTAATAAACAAAGAATTTGAATAGATTAGAAGGAGCCAAGCCTATATGTTTACTCTGGATTGTTCGTAAAATTGCGTAGTATTAGTGAGAATACCTTTGACTAATTTGTCTACCAGTGCCTACCAAGGTGACAGCATTGTCTCAAAATAATACTACTTATCGGTGGAAACATCTACCTTTATTAGAATTGCGCCGCTCTTTACACATTATGTAAAAAGTACCATGTCTTGAAATCGTCTAACACCATAATTATCTGCAAAAACTTGTACGTTTTTAAAAACAGCACTAAATATACGAGTTTAATGATAGAACTGTAAAAAAATTTACTTATGTCAAGTGCTCAAGATCTTCCCTACAGACCACGAGAACTAGATGACAAACAAATCATTGACGGGCTCCTTCTACCTTGTCTGAATTCGGTGGTTATAAAAGTCGTCTAAATGTAGGCTTTTATTAAAAAAATGCATGCTCAAAATGTTGCGCGTCATGCGCTAGAAAGGAGGATCGTTCATAAAATGTAAAAATTGATCAGCGCAGGGAGCTTAAGCAGTCAGAAATTTCAGGGAATTAGATTCGATTTTGGGGCGTTTGGTGGTCGCCCGAGTCAGGTCCCTGAGCTCGTGTCCCTTGTGCACATAGAGTGAAGACGGGGCATTATTTTTGAGCTCACTGAATTCGAGCTCGACGACGCTTTTTCTTTATAAAGTCCCTTCAGAATCATCCAACCACGCGTCATAAAGTTTTTTGGGATGCTCTTGAAGCAGCCTTGGGATAAGCCTCAAGTAGCCCCCTAGAAACAAAGCGACTTACTCCTGGTTGCACCGCCTTGCTAATGTTGACTTTAAGCTAAGCTGATGCTTGAGTTTAATATTTTTGTTACATTATGTACACAGCTTGAATCAAACTGTAAAAGACAGATGAGCGAAGACGAAGTGTTCCCCTTATTAAGGTGGACTTTCTAACTTAATGTGATTTGAAACTAGACACTCGAGGGAAATGGGTTTCGGCAAACTTTTTCCGGAACCACAGAGAATGTTTCTTGTTTCATTGTGTCTAAAAGTGCCAATGAGCATAATACTCGAGAGGTTTACCTTCAAGATTAATCGATCCCCAAACATGTACATTTTTATCGCAGAAAACTAATATGTCGTAAGGTAGGTATCTAGAATACAATATATGCTTTATGTGCATTTCAGATGCTATCCATAAATTGATGTTTACCTCTAGATGAAGATACACTTCCCAGCTTTCCTCACCTCACATTGACATATCTAGGACGACTTACTGCTGGCAGTGGCCAATTTGGCTTAAGCAACAAATATGTTGTTAACCCTGCTAATTTTTTTACAAAGGCGACCTAATCAAGCCCCCATTTTTGACTTATCTGATTAGCAGTTACGTACCAGAATGGAACAAACAGTATGTTCTCCGAGAGCACTTCGCGTGTTTGTTATTACGATGTCTTAATTCTCAGTCACTTTTATCGATCAAAACTTTGTTTTCGGATACAAACCTAATACTCTCCAATCAAGTTATATAAGTATAAATGCGATGATTTAATCTTGCCAAGAGAATGACAATGCATTGCCAACTAGCATGCCTTGATGAAGGTGCACTTACTAATTTCCTCATCTCACACTGGCATATTTAGATGACATCACTGCTAGCATTTACCAATTAAGGTTAAGCAGTACATGTTCTGGACAAGATCAAGAATATATTCGCGCTTCTCCTGAAGCACCAAACATCAATTATAGATAGCCTATGTAACAGATAAGGCAGTTAATGAAGATAAAAGTTCAATCTTAAGCGACCATTGATTGCACATATAATACCAAGGCCTGGGTAATGGGATGCTCTTCTCACGTAGCCTCAGTGTTATGGTATCTGAGATGCTCGTCACCATCAGAATGTTGCTTAACGTACCATGTTCCTTGTGGACTATATCGAAAACAACTGGTTGAGTTAAGAAGTAAATATATACTTCTTAACTCATCCGCTCGACTATCTACTTCCATTTTTTCTTTGACACAGTAATGACTTGCATGTCAAAGACGTTACATACTCTGGACACCCACCCCACTAAAATTTATCTGCGCCAAAAATGGTAATCTTTGAGACTTGGAAAATCTTGATACTATTGGTCAGCAAGAAGAGAGGAACGTATTCCTTGGTTTTGGAGAATTGCCGCCAAATCCCATTCCTAGTAAGGAATGTGCCTCATCATCCTTACTGTTTGTAAAAATTCAGTCGTTTTGAATACGGATATAGAAATTACAGAAATTGGTGAAGATGGTGAAAAAATCATTGTGATCTCCTCAACAAATCTGTAATCTAACGGAATATTTTGAGTTGTGATAACAGGTCATTTTCCCAAATATTCTGCATCATCCAAATAATGATGGTAATTGCTTTTTCAATTACAGGGCAAAAAATTTGACAATTTGTGATAGACATACAGTTAAGCCAACCAACCAATTTTTGTAGCATACATTATTTCCCTCAAATGGTACTTAAGATACAGTGTTGTCAGATTCAACTACATCTAAGCTATTACCAAATCCGAATGGTTTAATAGAAATCCAATTTGCGATCGACCTCAACACAAGGATCACCTTTGGGTAAGCGGTAGATTCGAGCAAGACGGTGCAACCAGGTACTAGCGACGCCAAAAACCTAGGTGATGAATATGTACTCGACTTTTCGAAAGTTTTACCTTCGGGCTCAGATTGGGCGGCTACAGAATGTCCTGGGCACATTAGAGGCATATTAATCTTAAAATTCATTACCTAAGACGTAATTTCTTCTGTTTTGGTTATAACTAGAACAGGCAAACCGTTTAGACCATATTCCCATGTTAGAATGGAACCGATCTGTAATATGTTGCGGAACAGGTGCCAGGGGATAAAACTGCGTCAAGATTGCGAAGCGTGACATATGTCGCAACATATGCAGCAACTTGTTAGGGAAATATATGTATGTATTATTTCAATAGAAAAACTTGATAAGTTGTCCATTTGCTTTTTACCATCTGTACTATTTGTTGTTTAAAATTTGATGAGAATGTAGATGATTCAAATGTTATACTTCGAGTTTTAGCTGTTTCAGTCTCTCATCACTTTATCTGATGGCATACAAAGATAAAATCGTAACTCAAAAACCCTGCAGATAATAGACGTATGATATAACATTTGCTGTTAGCTTTCATTTTTCATGAAGATCGTGTTGCTATATATTTAAGTATATTTTATTATATGATTTATACATATCTTAGCATAATACAGACCTGAAATGTGTATTGTCCAACGTTCGTGCTGTTTCGAACATGGATTTACTATAATAGCTTTGCAATTTTTAATGAATATTAATATAGCAGGATTATTTGCCACAGCATGTTTTTCAATAGACTGAAAGTCAATTCAACATAAAAGTAACAGCCAGGTTTTAATCGAAATTTTCTACGGTTTTATACGTTACCTACTGTACAACCAAAAGTAAAAAATTATATAGTTTCAGTAGACTGTTCTATTACTAATCATAGTCATAAATAACAGTTGTCTAAATAACTAAAAGGGCCCATTGTAAATAATAGATTAGTGCACATATGTACTAAGAAAGACGAAATTCAATAAAAACTGTTGTGTAAATCTCGTCTCTTATTTTCCAAGAGCGTGACACTCCTCAATATGGTACATGTTGCATCCCTACTAATATTATAAATGAGAAATTGTGGATGTTTGCTACTCAATCATGCCAAAATGACTGACTTAATCTGGATAAAATTCGGTATAGAGATAGATTATTTATAGAGTGGAATAACACATAGACGACTCTTTATCCCAGGAAATACCTGAAATATTTATTTCGCAGGCTACAGCCCTAACGATTCAATGGAGTTTGACATGAGATGTGCCACACTAGCTGTGCTTGATACTTCTCGTATGATTTATTATAGTTCTGTTTACACAGTTGATATCAATTTATTGTTGCATCAAAATGTTGAATAAAAATATCTCTTGCCAAAGCATGACTCTGAATATTACAATTCTTTCTCCGAAACCAATCACTTTAACACTAATACAAAACAAATTCCCTATACATTACACTACTCCCACGCGGAATGCCGTGGGTTAATGCTAGTAGTTTTGATACAGAGGGTATTGTACGTCACTTGGTAATTAATTTAATACCGTACGCAGTAGTGAAATGTCCAATTTATTACAGAATCATGTAATGTCACTTGATAACTGCCGACTAGTTTCTAACCACGTTTTCTACAACCATTGTATTTATTATAAGAAACGCAATGGATACGAGGGAGTTTTATCCTGAAAAATATTATTCTGCCAATTTTAAGCCCTTATTTTTTTTTTTGGCTTTAGGACCAGGCCATGCAGCCAGAAACTAGGTATTGTCGCATTTCTAATTATGGACAAACACACGACGTCAAAACATCCATGGCGAAGGCGAGATTCGAACTCGCGGCCCGGCCGGCTGATCAGTAGCACGACACTCTGACCCACGCGGTCAACCGAGGTCCGAAGCCCTTCTTGATAACCGAATAATCTAAACAAGCAACGAAACATAATAGAGTGACAAGAGAAAACACTCTTATAGTTCCAAAGGTTTTGAATACGGGAATAAGCGCACTTTTGACTTTATTCTATTTCCGAATGCTTGGAGCAGGTACGTCACCAAATTACAGACGCTAAAATTGTTACACAGCAGTACACTCTGTAACAATTTACTAACGTAGCCCAGCAGGTGACAAGCGATGACAGGTTATAGAAACTACAGAATATATAACAAAAAAAATGTTCTACATACCTAGATACATGGAGAAACAGATGTCTGAAACAAACTTACTCGGCTGCAAAAAGGGAAGGGGGAACGGTGTGCCTTTGTATAGGCAAAGCCGGTGCGGGCAGATTAAGACAAATTCAAAGACAATCCATGCTAACAGTAGTGTTTCGCTATTCTCTTCCGTTTTGGTACCACATATAGTCGATTTCAGCTTTGTTTGAATAGGTTATGACAATACCGTATAATTCAACGCAGAATGATGACCAACTGAGGCTTCACATGTAGCCTACAACACAAACACTACAAATATTAAATGTCTAAAAGTTACAAATCGTCTTCCATAGCTACCTACCAGTCTTTCTCATTTTAGCAATACAATACACTTATAATTGAAATTGACCACTAATCTCCATTCATAAAAAGTAATTCTTCCGTCATTACTGGAGCTTGCAAGGCATGTTGTGTGGATGACTACAAGTGTACGTAGAGCAAATTCTGAAGAGCAGTATCGGAACAAGGCCGTTTTGCTGATCGTAAGATTTTATCAAAACTGATCGATTTGAGGAATTGGGATTTTCGAAAGCAATGTCAGTCTACTGCCAATACAGAGAGTAAAAGTCAGTAATATTGCGCTACTACATACGGGCGATTATAATGAGTTGTTTCCCATACGATTCAACATATAATATCCTGACTGTATTAGTTGCTATATTTTCCAAATGTTGTCCAAGTGAACAATGCTGTTCAAAGGGCCTAGAGGACGTCAAGCAAAACATTTTTATATGAGCCATTGGCATTTTTTCTCTGTACGCTCGATGCATCTGAAGGGGTTGCCATCATTCTGTGACACAAAGTAACATGGAAAACATGCTACCAAAAGTAAAAAGTAACTAGCATGAATGCCAACACTGACCTGGTGCTGAGCATTAACTTCATGCTCTATAATGCCCCTTTTGTACAATACTCCTAGTATCACTTTGCATAAATTCACTGAACCAAGAATCAACAGGCACGTTCAGGAAACGGCAGGTCAGTGTCTATTTGACATCACTTATGGTACAATATCAAATCGACATTGTACCTATAGTGCGCCCAACATTTTTTTATATTACTTTTCCTTTGTAACAAGGCGGAACAATTTTGTAATTTTATACATCGACAAATGCAATTGCAACTTAATAATTTGTACAGTATCGGTGAGTGACTTTTATCACTCCGCTGACATATTATCTCAATAGAACCGTAGAACTTGATGCGGGGCAACCAATTTCTTCATCTCTGACTCCAATGTGATCGCTTTTCTCAAACGGGGCCCGGCTCCGGCTGAGGTGATTCATATTGGGCTCGTTGGCAATCAGAACGTTTTCGTACACATGCAGAGGCTGAAAATAGATTTTCTGTAAAGCTACGCGTCTACACATCCGTACTCAAAGCTTTGAACTGGACACCCATTGAATTCTGAATAGGATTCAAAGCCTACTGAATAATCAGCTACATATGTAGAGAGAGATATCCTTTTGGGGAGCAAACGAGTGCAAGAGGCTGACAGGCAGTGCGATAAAGAGTATCTGTATTATATCCTCAATTCTTTCAGAGATTCTAGTAGAATACAAAATGCAGAACTGCAGCGATAGTCAAAACGTTAACGCAACACAATGATGAAAATTTGTATTCATTTATACGACTAAAACATTTAGAGCTCCCACAGACTTTCAATTTCAGGTTGGCCAACTACCGAACAATTAAATTGCGTACTTTTACAATTGAATCGGGCAACTATATTGAGTTGGTTGCCAGTCGCAGACCTATTGATTTAGTCGGTGACAGTGTTGCTAGTATAGTGACGCGTGCGTGAAAATGAGAAAAAAGAACGGTCTACTTGCTCTTATATTAAAGAGAAGACGAAAACAAAAGAGAGAATTCTGGGTACATCCTTCAATAAGTGACAGATTAGTGTATGAGCAACATCATACATTGCATTCTAAACTAAGATGTTACCCAGAAAAGTTCTTTAAATTCTACCGAATGAGTATTTCTTCTTTTGATGAACTTGTGCATCAAATCGGGCCAGCAATTATCAAACAGGACACGACTTTCCGACTTGCCATCACTGTTCAAGAGAGAGTTGGCTTAACACTTCGGTAGGTACCTATACACTTTATTACAAATACATCTCATTTATCAATATATTTTTTATTAATGTTTTACTTATATTCAAAATGTTTTACTTATAATCAAAATGCTGTACTTTTAATCAAAATTAAAGACTAATTAGTATTTTTTTCTTTTACAAATCAATAAGTTCTGAATCTGACTGCTCTGAGAATTTTGCCCAATATGAAGAAATGGTACTATCATGTGGAGATGGAGTTGAACATTGCGGAGGTGGTGTTTGACTTTCCGCAGACGGACTTGAAAGCTGTAGAAAAGATTTTACTGTTTCCTGTGGCTCTGTGATATATTGCTGTTGAAGGTCTGTCATATGCTGTGAAAAAATTGCCCGATTTGTGGATTGGACTGGTTTTGGCTGAATAATTTCATCAGCAATAATCCGAATGGAAGTTGAAGGGGCAACCCGCTTAGGCGGACGGGAGCTTCTAGAAAATTGTGAAGTGCTAGGCTGAATGTTATACATTGTATTTGGCAATAATATTTTCTTCTTCGTATCTTGGAATATTTGTAAAATTCTTATACGCACTTCCAATTTTTGGTCAGACGTCAGCTCTTTCATAAAAGGAACCAAAGATAAGCAATAATTAGTATCGTCGTCTTCATTAGATTGAAGCGCTTTTAATACTTGTTCATCATAGTCGCTTTGTTTAGTTTTTCGTTTTCGTTGCGGCTGTGATTGTGCTTCTTCTGATAAATCAGCGTCATCTTGGTTTGATTCACTTTCAATACTGCCTTCAGTAGGCCGTGATTGCATACAAGGGGCCCAAAACAACATGCGCTCAGAGTAAACATATGGTCGTCGTTTAGGAGCTGCTTGTCCAGATTTAACAGACTTTTGGGCTTTAGGTTCTCTAGCGAAGCAGGTTCGCAAATTGTTCCATTTTTTTTGGATGTCATGACCTAAAAAAAAAAAAATTAGTTATTGGGAATAATTTTATTAATTTCATAACTAACACTAATGGTGTTTCGACACGGTCGAATCGGTTTGATCAAACACGTAGTTTCCTTTGATCTCTAGGGCATTTGTTGATGCGCGTTCACTCACTTGCGTATGCTTCTGTATATTTCATCCCAGTCACACATGAATGACTGAATTAATGTTTGTGAACTATAATAAACTGCGTGGAAACTGCCGGAGAGAATGTAGAAAACTACGTGTTTGGATCAAACTGTTTGTCCGTTTTGTTGCGATAAACTGTTTGTAATTGTTGCAGGTATTTAGCAACAGGGGCATACTTGTCTCAACTTCCGTTTGACTACTTAATTGGTGAATCTACAATCAGAGATATAGTGAAATCTACTTGTGAGCAAATATGGAATGTACTTCATTCCCAATATATGCCTGAAAAGACTGAAGAAGATTGGATTCAAATTGCTAATGAGTTCTATGAACGTACAAACTTTCCAAACGTCATAGGAGCGATAGATGGGAAACACATACGAATCATTAAACCGCAAAAATCTGAAACTTCATTTTTTAACTACCAGAAGAAGAAAAAGAAATTTTTTTCTTGCGTTTTGATGGCTTGGACCGATGCTGACTACAAGTTTGTCCATATTGATGTAGGTTCCTACGGAAGCAGTAGTGATTCTGAGATATTTAGTCATCACGGATGGGCAAGATGTTAATTGAAAACAAACTTAACATTCCCAGTGGAAAACCCT